GATGATGATGAAGATGATGATGTTGATGATGATGTTGATGATGATGATGATGATGATGATGATGATGATGATGATGATGATGATGATGATGATGATGATGGTGGTGGTGGTGGTGGTGGTGGTGGTGGTGGTGGTGGTGGTGGTGGTGGTGGTGAGGAGGAGGAGGAGGAGGAGGAGGAGGAGGAGGAGAAGGAAGGACGGAAGGAAGGAATGAAGGAAGGAAGGACGAGGACGAGGAGGAGCAGGAGGAGGAGCAGGAGGAGGAGCATGAAGGTGGAGGAGGCGGAGGCGGAGGAGGCGGAGGCGCTGCGGGGCGCGAGGACCAGCGCCGGCAGCTCGCCCTCCACGCCGGCAGCGCTGCCGCCCCCGTCCTCGTGGAGGCGCCTCGCGCTGCGGGGCGCAGGCCTGCAGCTGCGGCGCCCGACCGCACGAGGCTGGCTGGCAGGCCCGCCCGGCAGCCTTCGGCGGCGTTGGGGGCCTTTCTGGGGATTGCCGGAGGCGTCTCGAGGCCCATGGGAGGCCTTTAGGGAGGACGAGGCACGGGACGAGGCGGAGGAGGAGGAGGAGGAGGAGGAGGAGGAGTAGGAGGAGGAGGAGGAAGCGGAGGAGGAGGAGGAGGAGGAGGAGGGAGAAGAGGCGCAGGAGAGGAGGAGGACCAGGAGGAGGAGGACGGCGGAGGAGGAGGAGGAGGAGGAGGAGGAGGCCGGGAGAAGAAGGGTGGCGGAGGAGGAGGAGGAGGAGGAGGAGGTAGGAGGAGCAGGAGGGGGAGGGAAGGAGGAGGTGGAGGAGAGGCAGGAGGAGGAGGAGAGGGAGGAGGAGGAGGAGGAGGAGGAGGAGGAGGTAGGGAGGAGGAGGGCAGGAGGAGGAGTAGGAGGAAGGGAGGAGGGATGAGGATGTGGGAAAGGGGGAGGGGCGGGAGGAGGGCGAGGGAGAGGGAGGTAGAGAGAGAGAGAGAGAGAAGGGGGGGCAAATATATGTTATGCATTAGGAAGTGGCAGCGAGAGTCAGGCAGAAGGCAAGAGGGATAATGAGAACGAGAGAGAGAGATACATATATATATATAATGAGAGAGAGAGCGAGAAAGAGAGAGAGAGAGATGACGAGAAAGAGAGATAGAGAGAGAGAGAGAGAAACTAACATACATAACGGTAACGACACACACATATACATATTCAGATATATATATATATAGTTTGCTATACATAGAGAGGGTGATATACACATATAGCCACACATAGAGAGAGAGTGGCACATAGAGACAACACGTACATATATATATATATATATGTATATATACGTATATATACACATATAGACCTGTATGCATATATATATATGTGCATATACGTATGTTTAGGTTCATGTATATGTTTATGTTTATGTATCGATATATATATATATATATATATATATGTACATGTAGATATGTATGTATTCGTGTTTGATTATGCATCTATATACACATATGTATATATTCATATACCCATATATATATATATATATATATATATATGTATTCCTCTTCCTGTATTTTTAAAAGCCCGGGCGGGAAGAAATCCCCCCCCACCCCCAAAACCGGGCTCCCGGGATCTGGGGTTTTGGGACCCTCCGGACGGGCCTCGAAGCGGCCCCTCGGGCCTCGCAGGGCGTTTTGCCAAGCCCTCCCAGCACACCTAGGGCGATCAGGGGGGCCATCGGAGACGTCTCAGAGACCCCCAAGACAGCACAAGAGCGCTCCAAGAGTGACCGACGTGACCTCAAGATGGCCCAAGAGGCCTCCAGGACGGCCCCAAAGAGGCCTCCAAGAGCACTCCCAAGAAGGCCTCAAGAGGCACAAATCATGGATTTTCTGTTGCTTTTTTGTGAATTTTGGGGTTTTCCTCCTTTCGGCTTCCCGACGCTCCAAGACGACCGTCTTCTGGGCGTCCGAAGCCGCCTGGGAGGCTCCAAAATCGCCCCACAACCATCCGAAAGGTCTTCCAGGCAGTCCAAGAGAGCCTCAAAGGCACAACACGGGTCCAAGATGACCCTGAGAGAGCCCCATGGCGGCCCAAGAACACCTTCCGAAGCATTCCAAATCGTGACCCGGTCGTTCAGGGAGACCGTGGTTGGAGGCAGGGTGGCCCGAGGAAGCCCCCAGAGGCCCCCAGAATACGCCCAGGAGGCCTCCAGAAGGCCTTAAGAAAGCCTGAGGCAACTTTTGTGAGGCCCCCATAGGCTCTCCCAGGATGAGCCTCCGCAAAAAAGAGCTGAGGAGGATGGGGAGAATGCGCAGGGTATCGCCACTATAGAGCGATTCTCGCCCACCGGCACCGGCACCGGCACCGGCACCGGCACCGGCACCAGCACCGGCACCAGCACCACCGGCACCGGCACCGGCACCGGCACCGGCACCGGCACCGGCACCGGCACCGGCACCGGCACCGGCACCGGCACCGGCACTGGCACCGGCACCGGCACCGGCGCTGGCACCGGCGCCTGCGCTGGCACTGGCACCGGCACCGGCACCGGCACGAGCGCCGTCGCCGTCGCCGGCGCCAGCACCGGCACTGGCACCCGCACCCGCACCTGCACCGGCACCAGCACCGGCACCGGCACCGGCACTGGCACCAGCGCCGGCGCCAGCACTGGCACCAGATGATGAACATCATTGAATGCATGACATTTCCCAAACAGTGCTTGCACTTAGGGGGCCTTCTCTCTTTCCTAGTAGCTGGGTCTGAGGGGCGGTCTGGCGGCTCTCTCCTCGCCGTTGCCGCCCTGTCGCCGCCCGTCGTCTGGGCCTGGGCTTGAGGGGCGGTCTGGTTTTCCGTCCTTGCCGTCGCCCCCCCTTGCTGCGTCGTCGCCGCCCGTCGTCTTGGCCTGAGGGTCGGTCTGGCGGTTCCTTGCTCGCCGTCACCGTCCCGTCGCCGCCTCCTCGTCGCTGCCCTGTGTGCCCCCCCAGCGGTTGCAATCCAATCGATTGCAAGCCAATCAAGTGCAAACCCAGTGGAATCGATTGCAGTCCAGTCAATGGTAAAATTATGCAAACGGAGTTCCCCACATAAAGATATCAACGGTTTCGTGGGACCCATGGGGTACGACAATATTAACACGAAGGAGAAGCTCATCGAACGAGTAAGTAACCACAAAAGGGCAGACGAAAGAAAAGAGGATGGATGACAGGTGCTCAGGAAACGAAGCCTTGTAAATAGTACGGGTTCTTGATACCCTCCTCGCTCTGGCGGGGCCCCGCTGGAAGGGGGGAGGCCTACGAAACCTGGTAAAGAGTAATGCTGTCTCTCCTCGTCCTCCTCATCCTCGGCATCATCATCATCATCATCATCATCACCATCATCACCAGCATCGTCGTCGTCATCATCAGCATCACCTTCATCATCATCAGTATCATCATCATCATCATCGTCAGCATCATCGGCATCATCATAACCATCATCATCATCATCATCCTCATCATCATCATCGTCATCATCATCGTCAGCGTCATCGTCATCATCAGCATTGTCGTCGCCACCATCGTCATCATCATCATCATCAGCATCGTCATCATCATCACCATCACCGTCCTTGGCATCATCATCGTCCGCATCATCGTGGACGTCATGATCATCAGCATCATCGTCGTCATCATCATCAACAGCACCAGCAACGTCAGCATCAGCAGCAGCATCGTCATCATCACCAGCATCTGCATCATCATCCTCGTCGTCGTCGCCATCGTTGTCATCATCGTCATCATCATCATCGTCATCATCATCAGCATCATCATCATCATCATCATCATAATCACCGTTATCGTCATCCCTATCGTCCATCACCATTATCGCCATCATCATCGCCATCGTGAACAGCAGTATAACCATCGTCATCACCATCATCATGATGAAACCTTCCTCATCGCAGAACTCCCCCTCCTCCTCACCCTCCTCAGTGGGAGGAGTAGGAAGTGAGATGGATAGGTAATGTTCTCCCCTCCTCCTCACCCATGTCAGTGGGAGGGGCACGAAACCATTTAAATAGTGTGGGTTTCCGATACCCTCCTCGCTCAGACGGGGCCTCCCTGGAGCTCGAGGTGGTAGGGGCACGAAACCATGTAAATAGCATGGGTTTCCGATACCCTCATCGCTCAGGCGGGGCCTCCCTGGAGGGGTGGGAGGGGCACGAAACCATGTAAACAGTATGGGTTTCCGATACCCTCCTCGCTCAGGCGGGGCCTCCCTGGAGGGGTGGGAGGGGCACGAAACCATGTCAATAGTATGGGTTTCCGATACCCTCCTCGCTCAGGCGGGGCCTCCCTGGAGGGATGGGAGGGGCACGAAACCATGTAAATAATATGGGTTTCCGTTACCCTCCTCGCTCAGGCGGGGCCTCCCTGGAGGGGTGGGAGGAGCACGAAACCATGTAATCTTTATTGGTTTCCGATAGCCTCCTCGCTCAGGCGGGGCCTCCCTGGAGAGGTGGGAAGGGCACGAAACCATGTAAATGGTACGGGTTCCCGATACCCTCCTCGCTCAGGCGGGGCCTCCCTGGAGGGGAGGGAGGGGCACGAAACCATGTTCAGACGGGGCCTCCCTGGAGGGGTGGGAGGGGCACGGGTTTCCAATACCCTCCTCGCTCAGGCGGGGCCTCCCTGAGGGGTGGGATACCCTTCTCGCTCATGCGGGGCCTCCCTGGGGAGGTGGGAAGGGCACGAAACCATGTAAAAAGTATGGGTTTCTAATACCCTCCTCGCTCAGGCGGGGCCTCCCTGGAGGGGTGGGAGGGGCACTGGGAGGCAAGAGGCGGGACCGGCACCGGCACCGGCACCGGCACTGGGGCCCTCACCGGCACCGGCACCGGCACCGGCACCAGCGCCGGCAGCGGCACCGGCACCGGCACCGGCACCGGCACCGGCACCGGCACCAGCACCGGCACCGGCGCCGGCACCGGCACCGGCGCCGGCACCGGCACCCCGGCACCGGCACCGGCACCGGCACCGGCACCGGCACCTGCACCGGCACTGGCACCGGGGCAAGAATCGTTCATGCCTTGGTATCGCGAAAATGAGGAGAATGAAGCATGGAGGAAGGATAACGAATAACATTACCATAGCGGCGATGCCGGAAAAGGCGACAAGGAGTTATCGATACATTTTCGGCTTGACCTTCCCGCTATTCCGCCTGCATACCAAACTTCATTGTCCAAGGTGCATGGCGCGAAGCGCCTCTGCATTCTTGTATGTATGTATGAATGTATGCATGCATGCATGCATGCATGTATGTATGTATGTATGTATGTATGTATGTATGTATGTATGTATGTATGTATATATGTATGTATGTATGTGTGTATGTATGAATGAATGAATGAATGAATGAGTTAATGAGTGTATGTATGTATGCATGCATGCATGTATGCATGTATGCATGTATGCATGTATGCGTGTATGCATGCATGCATGTATGCATGTATGCATGCATGCATGTATGCATGTATGCATATATGCATGCACGTATGCATATATGCATGTATACATGCATGCATGTAGGTATGTATGTAATGTATGTAATGTATGTAATGTATGTCTGCCTGTCTGTCTGTCTGTCTGTCTGTCTGTCTGTCTGTCTGTCTGTCTGTCTGCATGTATGTATGTATGTATGTATGTATGTATGTATGTATGTATGTATGTATGTATGTATGTATGTATGTATGTATGTATATATGTATGCATGCATGCATGCATGCATGCATGCATGCATGCATGCATGTATGCATGTATGCATGTATGCATGTATGCATGTATGCATGTATGTATACATGCATGTATGCATGCATACATGCATGCATGTATGTATGTATGCATGTATGTAACCCCAGGAAGCATTGAAGACCCCCCCCCTTCCGGCAAATCGATAACCCTTCCGCACCCTGGAAGCGTTACCTGGCACCAGGAGCCCTCCTCCTCCTCCTCCTCATCCTCCTCCTCCTCCTCCTCCTCCTGAGGATGCAAAGTCGTTAGGAGTCATCAAATATGCTTGCGAATATTAATACTATTATCATTGCATGAATTTTCCAAGCAGCAAGCGACATCCTGAGTCTTTCATGAGAGCCACGCAGATTTGAATTTCGAATTTCGATTGTAGCCCAGGGGCCAGGCCTCCGCGAATTTGTTGTGTGTCCGGGTGCTAAACCTATCGTGCGGTTATTTCGGCCCCTCGGAATATCGAATAAAAATGCGGTGCTAAGATATCGCCGGGGGGGTTCTTAAATGCTTCCTGGGGTTATGTATATGTGTAAAAAGAGGAAAGAGAAAGAGAAAGAGAAAGAGAGAGAGAGAGAGGAAGAGAGGGCGAGAGGGAGAGGGCGAGAGATAGGGCGAGAGAGTGCGAAGGAGGGAGGGCGGGAGAGCGGGAGGCTGCAGGAAGAGGGGGATGAGGAGGAGGTACGGGACGTGCGGACCGGCGGTGCGATCGCGGCAGTGTCTGGCAGCATCATGTGCTACGACGCTGACACTGATTTGATGACTGGCATAATGTTTTTGCGAGTGGGCATCGGCTTTACCATCTGAATGACCTTGCTGGTCAGTGCGTGTGCCGTCGTCTTTTTCGTCTATCGAACCTGACGTGGTGTGAAGATGACGGTTACCACGAGTAATAGTAAAAGCATGTACAATTCAAAATAACAGACATAACATTCCAATGACGATGTCGATGGAGTGCGGTAGCCAGCATTCGCAGTGCATACCGTCGGGGCAACCTGGGTCAGGTCGAGGGGAGGACGGAATAACATGCCACGGCGATGATGACGTTGGCGCTGGTGGCGACGATGGCGGCGTTAGTGATGCGGCGGAGGAGAAGAGAAGGAGGAGAAGGAGGAGGAGGAGAAGGAGGAGGACTGATGCGTTGCAGCAGCTTGTCTCGTGAATGCGCCTCATCCTCACCCCTGGCGCGCGGGGGGGAACGAGGCCCCCAAGTGGGGCCCCGGTCGTGATCTGCAGGGAATGCAGGAGACCTGAGGGGTGCGGGGAGGAAAGATTGGTCTACTCTGTAAGAACGGTTTTTTGAAGGCAGATCTGCCTTCAAAAAACCATTTTTTGAAGGCAGATCTGCCTTCAAAAAACCGTTCTTACAGAGGCGCCGAATCCCCACCTGGCCGTCTCGCGCGGGAGGTCCCCGCAGAAAACCGCCCTTTGGGGGCGCCCGGGGGCGCCGTGGGGCGCCCTGCCGGGGCCCTCTCCGGGCCCATAGTGGGCCGCCTTGGGGCTCGCCTGGACTCCTCGCGCGGGGAGGTCCTCGGCATAATCACCTCCCAGACCCTTTGCCGAAAGGGCCCTCCCGGCGGGGAGGGAGGCGTGGCGGCAGCGGTTGCTTCCGTGCTTCCCTCTCTCTCTCCTTTCGTCCTGCTCCCTGCCTGCTGTCTACGCCTGGTCCCTCTTCCGCCTGCCCGCCCGCCCCGCCGGCCCTGGCCTCCCGCTTGCGCGTTCGTCGTCTGCCTGCTTCTCCCCTCCTGGTCCCGTTCCGCCCAGCGTGGCGGCGTGTAGGGCTTCAGCCAACGGCAGATTCATGGCCGCCAACGGAGCGGAGGGGGCAGAGCGACCAGGGGGTGGGCAGTGGGCAGGGCCAGGGGGGAGGGAAGAGGACGATGAGCCACGAAGGCGGGTGCGTGTGCATGTTTACGAGTGTTGCTTGATATGTTGTGAATGAAGATCAGTGCGAACATGTGGGTATGACGGAAAGAGCGAGGTACGAGCGAGTGACGTTGAGCAGGGGCGAAGCCCTCCTTAGGGGGAGTGCAGAGGGGGGTTGAGGCGGGAGTGTTGGGTTGGTAATGGCCCGTTTCCCTTTTACTTTTTCGAGTGAAGCGGCTCCCGGGCGGCTCCCATGGCCCGTTTCTTCGTATTTTTTCGGGTGTTGCGGCCCAAGGGCCCCAAGAGGGCCCCAAGACGGCTCCAAGAGAGCTTCAGATGGCCGCTAGACGGTCCAAGAGAGTCTCGGGACGGCCCCGGAGGCCCCCTGCGAGGGCCCCCTGCGAGGGCCTCCAGAGGCCGAAAACCTTGATTTCCCTAAGCTTAGTTGCATGTTTTTTGGGTTCTCCCGTTTTCCGTACGGCCCAAGAGGCCCCGAAGATCGTTCCAAGACGGCCCCAGAGGCGCCCAAAAGGAGCCCAAAACGGTCCAAGAGGGCTCCCAGACAGGCCCAAGACGGCCCAAGAGGCCCCAAAGATCAACCCAAGACGGCCCCAGAGGCGCTCTAAACGGGCCCAAAACGGTCCGAGAGGCATCCAGACGGGCCCAAGACGGCCCAAGAGGCCCCAAAGATCGTCCCAAGACGGCCCCAGAGGCGCCCCAAAGGGGCCTCAAACGGCCCAAGATGGCCCCCAGACGGCCCAAGAGGGCCCAAATACGGCCAAGAGGGCCCCCAGGGCCTTCAGAGGAGGAGGAGGAGGAGGAGGAGGAGGAGGAGGAGGAGGAGGAGGAGGGGAGGAGGAGGAGAGGAGGAGTATGAGGGAGGAGGGGAGGAGGAGGAGGAGGAGGAGGAGTGAGGAGGAGGAGGAAAAAAGAGGAAAAGGCGGAGGAGGAGGAGGAGGAGGAGGAGGAGGAGGCGGAGGCAGGAGGCGGAGGCGGAGGCGGAGGCGGAGCGGAGGCGGAGGCGGATGCGGAGGAGGAGGAGGAGGAGGCGGAGGAGGAGGAGGAGGAGGAGGCGGAGGAGGAGGAGGAGGAGGAGGAGGAGAGGAGGGGAGGAGGAGGAGGAGGAGGGAGAGGGGAGGAGGGAGGAGGGAGGAGGCGAGAAGGGAGGAGGGAGGGAGGGAGGATGGGAGCAGGGAGGAGGGAGGAGGAAGTGTAGGGAGCCGGAGGAGGAGCAGGAGGAGGGAGGAGGGAGGAGGGAGGAGGAGGAGGGAGGAGGGAGGGGGGAAGAGGGAGGAGGGAGGAGGGAGATTGGAGGAGGGAGAGGAGGAGGAGGGAGGAGGGAGGAGGGAGGGAGGGAGGGAGGGAGGGAGGGAGGGAGGGAGGGAGGGAGGGATGGTAGGGAAAGGGAGGGAGGAGGGAGGGAGGGATGGAGGGAGGGAGGGCAGGGAGGGAGGGAGGGAGGAGGGAGGGGCGGGAGGGAGGGGGAGGGAGGGAGGGAGGGAGGGAGGAGGAGGAGGCGGGGGGCGGAGGAAGGAGGAGGAGGAAGGTAGGAGGAGGAGGAGGGAGGAGGAGGAGCGAGGAGGAAGAAAGGAGGGGGAGGAGGAGGGAGGAGGCGATGGATGAGGAGGATGAGGCGGAGGAGGAGGAGGAGGAGGAGGAGGAGGAGGAGGAGGAGGAGGAGGCGAGGAGGAGGGGTGGGGGGGCGGGGGGCAGGGTTTGCGCGAAGGCCCAGCAGCTCCCCCCCTGCGGCCGCCCTGGGTGGCTGCGCTGGATGGCCAGACGCGGCGCCAGTCACGGCTCCAGGGGGGCGGTAGGGGGGGGCTGGACAAAGGGGGGAGAACAGGAGGAACGAGTAGTAATAGTATTATAATTAGTAGTAGTAGTAGTAGTAGTAGTAGTAGTAGTAGTAGTAGTAGTAGTAGTAGTAGTAGTAGTATTGTAGTAGTAGTAGTAGTAGTAGTAGTAGTAGTAGTAGTAGTTGTAGTAGTAGTAGTAGTAGTAGTAGTAGTAGTAGTAGTAGTAGT